AAGACGTCTGACATTAGACATCAGACGTCTGATATCAGATATCAGACATCTGACTTCAGATATACATATCACACATTAGACGTCTGACATAAGACGTCTGAGATCAAATGTCTGACATCAACACGTGAGAGGTCGCGAGTATTGCGGAACGGAAGTAATTCTGATTTGCTGTTTCGGTAAATGTCAATAGGTCACAAAAAGTGGACAGTAGATGTTTCAAAGAAGCTTTATATCAGGTTCTCCTTTCCTTACGCCTTTCCTGCCAGAATTTTATTTAAAAAGTGAACCTAAAATAGACCCTGATCTCAGGTTTGGACTTTCCAGAAACAGTCCTCAGAGCATGAAGCTCTTTACAGCACTAGTAGTATAGTAAGAATGTTTTACTCCTTTTCTGCGCAGGAATCTCATTAAGATGCACAGGCATGAATACATAAATGTTGATGACGTCATAGCCTTTTGTCCTTATTAATGCGGTGAAATCTTACTGAGGGCCTCTTTACACGGAGGTAGGGAACCCCAGATAGGTGAGGTAATATGCGGCGGGTCACCCCACCTATCATGTAAATGTGATCAAACTAAAATGAGAGATTATATGGACAGGCGGGTTACCTCACCTACATGGGGTTCCCCACCTCTATACAATCAGGCCCTAAGATAAGGTCATGTGCTATTTTTAGGTGGCTTAACCCATAGGTGAGGCCAAGTGTGAAGCCATTGATAGGAAAGTGATTTTTCATTCTCATGCAAATAAAATTCATTTTCATAAGAAAGGCTTTGCACTTAGCCTCGTTTTGTAAGTGAATGTTCTTTGAACTCGGAAATGGCCTATTAGACAGGTTAGTAGTAGTTATTTATAGGTCGATGATTGTCTTGCTTTTTGATTGGTTGAGTAAAAAACTAAGAAATAAAGTATTCATTGGTTGATAAATGTTGTTGAAAGAATAAGCACTAACTTGCCTGTCACTTAAAATCACTGTATCCTAACTCGATTTCCTGATGCCGCTTTCATTGTCCAATAACTGGTCTAAACTGTTCTGTTCTGTTCTTATCTAACTCATTCAGCTAGAACTAATCAATTCAGACAGGGACAGTATCCGTAAGGCCTGCAAAGGATTTTTAATTTCTAATAGCAAATCACTTGATCCCTGTGGGATTAACAAACGAGATAAAATTTAATCTATTGATGTAACATTATAATAACCTCTTTATACAAGTTTTCGTCTAATTTATTTCTCCACCAATCACATTTTATTTTTATATTTGTATTAGTTTAAATGCTGTAACCGTCTATTCTCACTTTGCTTTTCTAGCCCCTGATGAAGACTAGTTTTGTCTAGTCGAAATGTTGGGCAAATAAATTTGTATTCCTTAGCTGTCCAATCAGCCTTGCCTTCAATTTTAAGTGTTATTTATTTGTACTGCTGATCTTGATCTACAAAAAGATCCGGCTTTCCCTCGGTGCTGATTGTCCAAGTGGTCCCTGCGAGAAGTGTTCGCTAACTGTTCTAAATCCAGTTCACTGATTCTAGGCGCGCAAATCGTGGGTGTTATTAAGGACGAAGGGAAACAAGATTTTCCTAGCACGAAACATAATAGGGCCATTTATACGAGGGAAAATAAGACGAGTCTTACATAAGACGCGTCTTAAATAAGACGCGAACTGTACCATTTATACGAACGGCTTGTATAAATGGTTCGCGTCTTATTTCTGCTCTTGACTCGTTTTCATGTGAATATTGCCCATAGTAACGGCAATCCAACGTGGCGCGCCAAAAATTAACGCATGCGTACTATGCGATCGCGTCTTATATAAGACGCGAAGGTCATTTATACGAAGTTTTTCTCGTCTTAGCTAAGCCGCGTCTTATTTTAGACGAAATGTGCCGTTTATACGGAAAGTTCGCGTCTGATTTAAGACGCGTCCTATGTAAGACGCGTCTTATTTTTCCTCGTATAAATGGCCCTAATGTTTTACGTACCCTCTTTCCTTTCTTTCGCTTCTCCACATTTCTGTTGTTTTTTCTCCACCACCACATTTCCATTGTTTTGCTCCACGACTACCAGCACATAGAAAGGTTACACTCATGGAAGACAGAAAGGCCAAACCAGAGCAAAACAACCCCAAATCAGGCCAAAATAGCCAACGACATACGGGTCATATTCTGCTGAAAGTCGAACATTACTTACCTGCGAGACGAAGTAATATGATCCATGGGTCCTTGCGATAACTTGAATAAACAATGAACAGTTTTCTAAGTGTTTACTCAACCAATCAGAAAACGAGGCATTTATCGACCTAGAAATAGCTAGAAAACCTGTCCAATGGGTTAACACGACCTTACTTTACCGCGATTTCACCGCAATTTATTTTTAAGACAAAAGGCTATGACGTCATCGACGTTAACGTGTTCCTGCGCAAAAAAGAAGTGAAACATCCCTACTATACTGCTAATGCTGTACCTGTCACGTTGTTCGGTTTCTTTTGCTACAACACACAACTTTAGCTCGTCAAACGAACCAAGAGAACGTTAAAATGACATAATTCACATATGGTTTGAATTAACTAACATCCGCTTTGAAATAAAATTGCAAAGTAACACAAATACAAAACCCCGATAATGTGGGTTCATTGGTCTTCCGACTGCGCGTTTTTAAGCCGGGGAAGTAAAGTAACTTCTTTCCCCTTCAACGATTAGCATTATTCTTAGCTGGGACCTTCCATACCACACCCCTCCCTCACCACCCCAAAACTATGATGATGACGAGTTACGGAAAGCTGGCACGAAAATGAGTTACGGCCTATACAACGATCAGAAATATACAAAGGAGCTTTACAGACAGCTGAGACCATAGGCGTACGGGCCGGGGGGGCGAGGAGGGCTGCAGCCCCCCCAAATTTTGGACGACTCAGATTTTTTGGGCAGCAAGAGAAAATTTGGGCAAAGCCAGTTTTTAAAGACGTTTCCATGTTTTTTTTATTACTCTAAAGAGACAAATATTTTCTATTTTAATCTGAAAAAATCCTGAAGTCAGCGTAATAATCCAGTTACATTCTCTCGAGACACTCACAGTGGTTGCCTAGCGCGTGATGAGTTTCTGGTTATAGGGAAGGGTATCATTTGTTGATTTACATATTTATAGTTTTTTATTGGTGAGCACTGTACTGCACTGCACTGACTGGAATGGGCTCTTTCCAGTCGTGAATTGATTAGAATAAATTTCCGCATATCTTTCTAGAATCATCTCAGCAACAGTGGGTCTGAAAATGAAGAAGTGGCTGACTAGTAATCCGCTCGAATTACGAGAAGAATATTAATTTTTTTAAAAAATCTATCAAGCAATAATTTATTAAAGTAGACCGAAATGTTTACAAAACCGCTAACAAGAGCCCCTCGATACATACTAATGAAATCCTTCTCTCTAGCAATCAGCCGGAGCCATATCCATGATCATATCTTTTACACACGTTTTTAAAAAGATTGAAGCTACTATGAGGTGCAATTGCATGTCAAAAGAGCTTCGTTTTCTACAAATAACAGCCAAACATCAAGATTTTTTTCCCCATATTTATAATGATAAAACCTTCATCCCAAAATATCCCAATAACGCTCCTATAGATTCCGTTTTAACTTCACGAACATCGAGGCGACTATTGAAAAAAGTTCCCGTGAACAATTTTGTAGGAATAGTTCCCAGTGCCGAGAAATATTGCTGCAAGTAAAGTAGACAATGACTTCATTTCGTTGCTATGACAATTCCGATGTCATTAAAACCCTGCTCATGATAAATTTTCATCTTCATCTAATAAAACTATGGTAGCAGTTTTTCCAAATGTTTGTCTATGGCGACGTAGTTATTCTCAAAATTGGGAGGTATTGACCTTTATATGCCAGTACGGCCTACGTTATTGCATCGTATCGCCTTCGTTTCTTGTCTACTGTTTCGTAAAAATTTGGGCAACTTGGGAGAATTTTTTGGGCAAATGGCTTAACGCCCCCCCTGGCAAAAAATTGCCCGTACGCCTATGGCTGAGACTAACAAGAAACTAACAAATACATAATGAAGTCAGTAACGTAACAAGACTACTGAGATTTAAAACCGAAGATCCAGGGTAATACGTAAGTATACAACCAACCTCTACAAAAAGAACGAGCTGGCGAACTGAAAAGCCGCTACCGGGAAGACTACACTAGTAACATATAAACAAACTATTCTGAAGGAAAAGGTTTGAAGACAACACCTTACACTATACAGAGTCTTTACCCAAGAAGGACAGCTGATACCGTATACAAAGATTTGGTTTTGTTAACTTTGGTGACTTAGGCTAAACCTGCGACTTGACCGGTTAAGTCGCCCAAAAGTCATCTCGCCCTAAACCATAGTGTCACCCTCCATGGTCGCCTGACATTTTCTACTCAACAGTATCCTTAAACCAAACCTTATAACAAAAAGTATTGCGCTTGTTTCGTCTCACCAAGGAGTAGAATTACAGATTTGACACTCGTTTCGTTTCATCGTGGCCTAAAGAACGAGATTTAAAAAAAACACATTTATCGCCTTTGGTTCACCTCAACAAGGCTTTTTTTCCGCGTGCATTACACCTGATAAAAATTCGGGCGACATTCATTTGTAACTCTGGTTTCGGGTGACCTAACTTTGGGCTAGATGACTTTAGGGCGACTTAACCATCAGACTGGGCTGGCGATGGAAAAGTTAGTTTTTCTAAGGACTCCGATTCGGTGGTCAATCGACGTTATCAAAACAAGTCGTTGTTATTCAGTCCTCCACTATACACCAGTTAAATTAGAAACTACACCGCTTCATTCATCTTCTACCCGTATAAACGAAAAGAGGAGAACAGACAATGACGCAAATTTTTAACTTTGTCTTCTATGGTAAATAGAAATAAGTTTGCTTTCTGTCCCACAGTCCAGTGTTGTACAACAATTACAGGCCATCCAAGGATTTGACCGAACAATGCCAATCTTTGACCAAACATTGTCCGTTGACCGGTCGTTATTTCAAGACCTGGAGGTGGCCTTACAACACAAATACAGTACAAAGCCAGGGGCATAATATTCCAAAGTTACCTTTTATTCATAAGTTATCAAAAGACAAAAAAGGCTATATAAAATGATCCCTGATGATAGCCAGATTTCCAGATAAACTAATAATGTTGGAATTCCTATCATTTTTTGTGTGTGGTATAGTGCAGCCACCGTGTTCCCTATTGTCACCTGTTAATGGAGATACCAGAAAATTATAACACCAAACTTGTAGGAAGCAAGTCCAGAGAAGGATACAAAGTTTACTTAGCGAGTCTCTCAGATCAAATCATAATATAGTCAAACTTCTGCAAGACTACAAGTCTATAGGGAAAGGGAAACACTGATTATCAAGTATTAATCTGACAGCAAAAAATACACAGGTACTTGTGACAGAAAAGACAGTTGTGCGGCAGCAGCAAAAGGGAGTTTGCAGCAAAGTTTAACCTGAAACATTGCCTACTTACAATCTCTACTACATATACATCACTTAACGCCCAGTTTTTGTTTCTCTATTCACAAAAATATCTAATAAATGGGGGGCTATTGCATGGTACACAATGACACTTTTAAAGGTTTCTTTTTCACTCCAATAAGCCTGATAGAATATTATTAAATTATTAACATTATTATTAACCAAAAAACCAAAAACCAATTCTCGGGAGTGCCACATACAGTGTTACTACGTTAAGTTTATATTGTCTTTTTGATTTGATAAATTTGTTTCACTTTAACCTGGTGTTAATTCAATAAAACTTTTACAAGTGTAGCTCTTGTTCTAAGGTCCAAAACAGTACAATGTAGCTACACCTGTAAATTACACTTGTAAAAGTTTTATTAAATTGACCACTACATTTGCGTTTGAGACCTTATTAAGTGAAAAAGTCAACAAAGTCTTTGGTACCAAAGAAGAAACATGTACAATAAAAAATGTCAAAATGCACCACAGTGGTAGAGGATGGTTATAGCTTCAGTTGTTCAAAAGGTGATAGTGCTATCCACCGGATAAATCACTATCCAGTTGATAACTATTAGGCAAACCAATTGCACTATCCAATGGATAGAGAGTTATCAGGTGGATAGCCCTATCCACCATTTAAACAACTGGGGCCTGCAGAATAATCATTACAGGTATGTTAGAGTTGTCAAAGACTGCAGCATTGATTTCTTTCATATAGCTTGTCACACCCAGTATCATTATTTTATGGGTAGAAAAGTACTCTGCTCTTAATAGTTCTATGATTGTGAATGCAAGCTTTCTTGATGCTTTCAAACATGTATTTTCCATCATTTTTTTGTCCTCTTTGTGGTGAATAAGTTTTTTCTTCTCTGTTACTGTGTTTAACCTCGTGACTTTGAATGCTGAATGAGCCATTGCAGGGTAATATCTACAAAAATGAAAAGGAACACAAAGCTAAGTTGTCAGTCAGCCTTTATTCAGCTCCACCAGTTGTTGCCCAGTGTTCATTAGAAATATTGAGAGACTTTTTGGTTGCACAATGTGAAAACGGTACCATGTGAGGCACAAAACTTGTTTCGGAATGATTTTTTCAGTTGTTTCTTGGCACTACAGAAACCATTGCATATTAGCAAATAATGTAATATCACTAACATTGTGTTGTGAGTTTAATTTATCTTTTTTATTTTGTCAATTGGTAGTGAAACGATCTGCAAAATACTTTTAGCGCAAAGCATATGGGAAACAACAAACAATACCTTATTGTAGGAAGTTAGTGCTCAATGAAATTAAGGTAAGGGAAATTAAGGCAAATTTAGTGAACAGAGAGGGTGACTTTAAATGAACAAAACTTGTTGAGACGAAAGGAAAAAGTTAAACGTATAATCCAAAATGGAAACTTTGTTCAAGGTTCTTTCCCTAAACACACAGAGGGTCAAGCCCAGAAATCTGGCCACTTAGCGTTCTTTAAAGTTTCACTGTTACTGGTAGATCTTTACCCTGATAATCCTCTTTCTTAGGTTTCAAGAATGTTACAAGTGTATCAAGAATTTGGAGCCAAAATAATGGAAATAAAGGTCACGGAAATTAACAGTTACAAAAATTACCTTACATTAACACAAATTTTTGAAAGTCACGTTAATTTCATGAAGCGTTAATTTCCCATTTACTAATAATAAGGTAATCTGTATTGCTTACCAATGTTCTCCTTTTCTTTGCAAGAGATAGAGTAGCAGCAAATTTCTCGATCTTGTATGGAAGCCAGATTCCTGTGGGCACAAAAGATAACTCAGTAAAGAAACATTGTACTTTCAAGTTAAAACAACATAATAATCTCATATCATGTGAAATACAAATCCTGACACATGGGTGATTAAAGGGAAATGCAATCAATTCAGAACTTACAGTCTCTCCACCAGTTCTTTTTCATCTAGTGCATTTGGGAGGTCCTTTTTGTTTCCAAGAACTAACACCTACAAGATTAAACATACAGAACATTCAGCAAAAATGAAGCAATTAAAGTGCATTTTTTGTGACCTTTTTTGTAAACCCTCTGTCACAGTTCAGTGACACTTTTGTCCAGAAATGCACATAACTTAGACCTCGGGTACTTCATATTACACACAGCTGTTTGTAATTTCAATATGACTTCATGTGTGACTGAATGGCCTTGCGTTAGGTGAGGATTAGGGCCAGGGGACACCTTGTGATGTCAATCATGAAGAGCATGAATCTCATTAGCATGCATTTCTGTACATACCTTCAAGTTAATATTGTGTTGATTACAATAATGATCAATAGCTTGAACAACTGTAATAATTAACAATTATTCCATGAGAGCGCTTTGGATATGAGATGATAGATAGCAAACGAGGCGCGTAGCGCCGAGTTGGCTATAATCATCTCATATCCAACAAGCGCGAGTGGAATAATTGTTTTATTAAAAACGCCCACAAAATCTTGTTGAATCTCCCCGACTAGAACAAACCAGAAAAGACAAGGGACTTCCGCTATTCACATGTCACACGTCTATCAAAACTGTCAACGCGCGAACGGACTCGCCTGGACAGCATGAATGAAAATCAAAACATTGATGAACATTAGTTTTTTAAAAACTCATCGGGATTCTAGGATTTTACACAGCAGAACAGCTAAAAAAACCTGGCAGATAATGTGAAGGAAAAGAATTTTTAAGTGACAGCCGTCGAAATTACTGTGAATTTGGATTTTCGGTGCAGTTATAAAAGTAAGAACAACGGAGAAAAACTATTACCTCGACAAAAGAAGCTATACTGCCGCCTCGATTGCTCTAGTGAATGGCTGCATAGCCTGTATTTGTAGCTGGTTACTTGTGATTTATATTCTTGATGTCGGATAAACAAGCCGCAGTTATCTATCGGCGAGTGACTCGATCGGCGAATGGCTTTGCGATCATGAAGAAACAACGCTTGTCTTCTTTCGTAGCTGGTCAAGGTACTTTAGTTCCATGTGTTTTCATGTGTTTTTCGACAAACTTTCAAACAAGCTCTTGTGGCTTTTTTGTTTGTTTTTGTCTTTTTTCTTTCGATGAAATTGCATTTCTAGTATTCGAAAAAATGAATTAATACGATTTGCTTCGGGCGCCGTTCTATCCTTCGCGAAAAAAAATCTCAGCTAGCTTCCAATTTTAAACTGACGCGGACACCGACCATATATGGAGAGCATGGTATAATAGCTCATATACCATAACGGCTAAGCCAATCAAACTGCTAGAATTGCATTATCCAATGATTCAGTTTTTAATAATTATTATTATATAACTATAATTTATTTTCAAAGCTATTCACACACATGCTTTGAGAACTGTAGATTACATGTAATTGCAGTTTACAAGCACAGAGATTCTTCACATTAAAATATTTTCATGCACATACTGGAATGCCAGCTAACTGTGGTTTTTCCAAGAGTCCATGAAGTTCATTTCTTGAAGCTTCTAATTTTTCATGATCTGCTGCATCTACCATATACCTTGAAAAAAAGTAACAAAGAAAGCTTGTTACCATGCAATGTTACAGTCAGTAAACAATCTCCTCAGTAGTCATAAAAACTAAAATAACATATTATTGCAGGAAAGTCTCTACTTTGGTGACTCATTTTTCACATTCACTATTATTTGTCTTTGAAATTAGGTGATTATAATAAAGGGTTTCAATTGTAAGACTAAGGAGTTTAAAGAATAAAAGAAAAGCATTGGTTATATGGCTATTTCCACAGAAGGAGCAGCAAATCCTGAGTGACAATGCAAAATCTACAGTTATAAGGATTCCTCTCTTATTTAGATTTCTTCACAACAATAGGAATGTACTTACACAATACAATTTACACCTCTACAATATCTCTCCCACATGCTTCTAAACCGAGGCTGGCCTCCAATGTCCCAAACCTAACAACATATAACACAACCGTTTTTTACCTTTCACATACACGCTTTATAAAAACCAAAATTTCACAATTTTTTTTAGACATGCATTTTTTGCGACACTTAGTTGTCAAGAACTTATGAGATGGTCAATAAAATTGGTCAATAAAAATGTCGTAAAAATTTTACATGCGGTATTTTGGATATTACTAAAATCAATGGACCAAAAAAAACACTATCAACAGGTTTTTAACCAATTCATGACTGAACTGCACTTAGCCACCTGTGTGGATCCACATTCCTTCTACCTCTCATGACATCACTTTTCATGGTCATGGACCACTTTGTCAGCTAACTTTCACAGGGTGAAGAGATCTTTCAAACCATACATGAATAAGCATGATTCAGTAAAGGAGGCAAAGGCAAAGGCAAATAACCATGTAACGTTAACACTCATACTCCCCTGAAAATCTTGATTTACTACCCACCTACCTCTCCTTTCATGAAACACCTTTACCCACTGAAATGAAGCCTACTACATGCTCAGCAAAAGAAAAACATGAGGCAAAAAAACAAGAGAAGAGGGATGGACAGAAAGTGAAAGGAAAAAGTCAAAACTACTGTGTCACTACTAAAATAAAAACCATCCAAAATTTTACTTTCTGCGCATGCGCCCTGAACTTCAGAAGCTTGTGTTATTTTGGCATCTGGATCAGAAGGCTGTGAAGCCTACAACCCATAAACGGCTTTTTGGTTTAAGTTTTAGCTCTTTATAGCCAGAGAGTGACCAGAAAATGGCTTGACTAACTTCCAAATGGGTCATAAAGCAATTTGAAAATGTTTTCCAAAAATATTTTCAAGTTTTAGTACACTTCCTACCGGCCCATCCTCTTTCTAATAATATTTTGCACTATCATAACAACTTGTAGCAAGGCCAGATCACCCTTAGTAGTCCCATTGACATTAAACCTTTCCATTGGATCTTCAAGAAGCACTAGTAACACTGACCCTTTCATGCGCCTATAATATAGCAGCCTCCCACACAGGCGTTTTTAGGGGAGCTTGTCTTTCATCCCTCCCACAAACGCCTGCTCAACCAAAAACAACATTCCTTTCCATTGTTTTATTCGTGTGGTAAGTTACCAATCAGCAGTTTTGAAATAAAGTGCTGACAACCTGAATGCGACTCATAAGCTTGTGGTAGTGTAAAAACGTGACCCTAGAATAGTCTAGTTTCGAATTAAAAACTACCGCTGAGTACAAACATTAACGACACATTCATACAGGGTTAGCCTCGACGTAAAGTAAAATATTCAGAAATTCCGGCAAGTAAGGGTTTGAAATTTGAATATACGCAATAGACTGAGTAATAAACAGGTCTTTTTCTCGTTGGAATTTGTGAATATATTACTTCAGATAGAGGCTAAGGCTGTAAAAAATGCTTCTTCAGTTCTTTAATTCAGCGGTCATGGCGAACTCGAAACTGGACTACTACTGATTTCCTTTTTTTCTTTCCTTCGCTATGGTTGTGCAGTGCATGGAGTATTCTCAAACCTGACTAAATCTTACTTTTGCCGCTTGGACTCTAACATTTTGTTGAGGTCATAAAGCTTTCCTAGTGTTTCATGCAGAGCAAGTAATTATCGGGTTACCCTGCGGTAAAGGTCAACTTTCCAGAATTTGGAAAGTACAATGTGATTGGCTAAGCTGGGGAAAGGAATGTTGTTCTCGGTTGAGCAGGCGTTTGTGGGAAGGGATGAAAGACGAGCTCTCCTAAAAACGTCTGCGTGGGAGGCTAATAATATAGATGACACAAAACAAAATCTTGTTCATCATACCTTAATTGTTACATTTCCTTTGGTAACTTTTCTCATATTAAATCCAACTGTTGGTATCATGTCTTCACTAAACTGACCAGACTGGAAAGATAACATTCCACAGATTACTATACTATTATATTCAAGAGTGTGGTGTCCATGTACGCACATACGCCCATGCGTACATCTGGATCTGGAAAATAATATTTTTTTAATTCCCTGAAAGCATTTTTATCATTTAATCAGAACATGCTCAGGGAAGGCGCATCATGGGTTAGTGTATGTGTGCCCGTTGCTTTAAGTTTGTCTTTGAAAATAGTGAACTAACAGTTCTACCGCATAAAGAATTTGAAATCCCAGCTTGACATAGCAAAATATTTCAGATATTGAAGTTCGTGTTTTTTTCTGAGGTTGCACATGTCATTTTGTGTACAATTTAGTGGCCTTCTAAACAATCTTAGAATCCTCAAAAAATCATATTAAAGTTGTCAAACATTCATCATACAGACTTATATTTGGTCTCTTTTTAAAGTTAAAAAAATTTATGGTGTACCGATGAAGCCTTCTGAATTATTTTTCTTCAAAGACACAAAAATTTTGCGGCGTTATTATTTTTCTTAGCGGCAGGCAATAAAAAATTCCAGCAGTTAAATGCGCAGCCATATGTGTAAGTTGCAAATAAATCCACGTGATGATTAGTTGAAGACTGGATGAACACGAAACTCACAAGCACGCACATGGCTCATGGATTCCCTGTTCTGTATCACGTATTCTCTCAAAAACAATGCATTAGGTTCTGCATTATGTCATAAAAGTTACATTTCATTACTATATGTTACATCGATTCAAAAATTGTTTCTGCCCCCTGGAACTATCATGCACGTCTTTATTAGGCTGCCGCTTTGCAGCCTCGCGTCTTTGCGAGGCTGCTCGTTGGCAATTAACAAGTATTGTTTGACCCTTTTCTTAAAAAGAGGAGTACTCAAGCATTTAAAGTCAGGGGTTAGTTCCTGCCAGAGATCTACTGCCATTGCAGATATCGTTTGTTTGCCAGTGTTTGTTCTACAACATGTCTTGTATAGATTGTCTTTTGAAGCATATCTTGTGTTATGAGAGTGGATGTGTTTGGCATATCGGAAACAACTATTAAAGATTGATGGAGCTACTGTTTATACCATTTGTGGATGAATCTTTATGCTTGAAGTTCATATATATGATTAACAGTTAGAGTGTCAAGACGATTTATTAATAACAAGAGGCTTTCTGTATTTTTCCCATACAAAGTAGACAAAATATTATCCTTACAATGTGGCTTTGTTTGATTTGAAGAACTTTTATAATGGACTTATAGGAACTGCTCCAAGCAATAATGCATAGGAGAGATAGGGATAGATTAAGTTGTAGTAGATTTGTCTGAGTTGAGATGGAGAAAAGTAATGACGAAGCTTTAAAATAATTCTAGTCTCAGAGAGCAAGATTCAAGTGCGACAAAGCTGTATTTACAGCAAATAAGAAGCTCACAGTCACTGATGCCAAATTAAAGCTATTTAGCAGTCTATTGAGGAGGAAGACGAGAAAGTCACTAGGGTCACTATCCCAGGTTTGGACAACCCTATTGACACAAAAGAGACAAAGCAAGTCTGGATTAATACACAAGGGATTATGGAGACACTGGATCGCAGAGGGTACCCAAGCTCCCATCAGGACTCAGGGAAAGTAATGCATACCATGCTTCAATGCTCACCTGTTTGCAAAAAAGAGCATTTACCTGGCACAAACACTGCCAGCTTGGAAAAGTCCCCGCCAGTCAACACGCCCCTTTTTAGCCTCCAAGGAATGAATCCCTTTGCGACGACTCCCACAGATGACCTCACAACAGTCAATCAAAGGCTAGTCGCAACTTTGTCGTGACAAAACCTTCCTCAGTGCCACCTCGAGATATTCGCAGGAGACCTGACACTCTTCCACCCATCGAAAAGTGTTTTTCGTGCCACAATATTATTGAGAAGCTACACAAAAGGAGATGCACAAATAGTAATTAACAACTACTGTCAGACAAAATAGGTATCTGGCTGACACCATGTGCGATGTATGGAAGGAACTGGAGAGACACTTCCGCAATATGTTGCCATCACTAACGTTCTGTAAGAATGACTTCAGACGGCAGCCAAATTTGGAGAAGAAGACAGTGAAAAGCTTCAAGCATTTCCTTCAAAAAATAAGTGCTGAAAGTCAGAAACAAATGTGTTCTCATAGAAGGTTTTTTCTGGCAGGACATGGATTGAGCAAATGCAATGCAATCATGAAATGCAGCAAGTGCAAGGACGACTGCCATCCCATGGCACTTCACAATAGAGAAACCTGACACGACATGAACGGAGCACAGTGAGGAGCTTAAAAACGGCCTGCACTTCGGTTTGCCGCAACCCTTTCAGTGGTGGAGTCATGTGTAACAAGATTGTTCTTGTTGACGTTCTCTGTGAAAATTGTCTTCAAAAGTCCCATCGCACTTATGCAATCATAGACGATCTGAGCAACGCTTAACTCCAAACCCAGTCAATAGGTTCAGTGCAACCAGACCGAACATCAAGTACTTCCTGATGACCTGCAGCGGTGGATGAGAAGAAAGTCTGGGCAACGAATTTCTGGTGTCATGCTACGCTCTTTGACAAACAAAATGGCGAGGCTTCCCCAGCTCATCAAGTGCACAAACATCCCCAAGCACAAGAATGAAACTGCAATGCCAGAGATTGCCAGACAGTGTTCTTGCCTCAAGAAGACTGCCAATGAAATCCCACCTAACGATCTCTAGGTGAATGTCGAGATCAGAGGTGAGGGACGCACCTGGTACTTACCTCACTTTGGGCTGTATCATCCCAGGAAGCCAGATCAGATCCATGTGGTGTTCGATTTGTCACCCAAGTTCCAAGGGGTCTCACTAAATAAGGAACTTCTTCTGGGTCGAGACCTGATGAATATCCTTGTTGGAGTGTGATGCTTGACATTGATAATAATAATTAAGTCTCACGCTTCTAGCTTAGCACAAATGGAAAACAAATATTAATAGATAGAGTCTAAAGAATTAAAATAACTGTAAATAAAACCTAATATAATATGTAATGAGACCTAAAATATAATATACTCTCTGCATTTCGTCTTGTGGAAACTTAAAATGAATTAAAATAACTATAACTATAAATAGAGCCTAATGTAAGTATTAGACCTTAATTATTCATTACGCATTGCATAAAATACAATTCTTACAAATATTTAAAATATCCTCTACATTTGTCTTACTTATGGCACTGCTAAAGCTGGCTACTGATGGTAGAGATCTAAGCTGATGATCTAACTTGGACAACAAATGCGGCCCAAAATATCTAAGACTGTTCTTTCCATGATGATGTGTTAAATCTATGAGAACTAAAGTCACTGTTCCTTAAATTGTAGCTATAGGTCAATTATTGTTGGCGAAAAATGCTTTGGACTGTTTGTGGCATTTCTTGCCATTCACTAGAACATCAAGAAGGACCATTTCACATTCCATGTCTTTCTGCCAGAAAAGTCCTTTATGCAAACAGGAGCTCTGTCTGTAATAAACTCGGTGTACGACCCTCTGGGATTTGTATCCCCAGTCATCCTGGAAGGGAAGCTAATCCCCACAGCAACTCGTCATCATGGGGAAGAAGGTGAATGGCAACGATCCCCTTGGTTGGGATGAACCACTTCTGGAGAACATGAAACACCACTGGAGTCAATGGAGAGACCTACTCCCCAAGCTGGAAAAAGTATTGATTCCTTGTTGCCACCATCCTAAAGGATTTGACACTGTCACATGGAGGGAGATACATGCATTTTTCAGTGCAAGCAAGGAAGCCATCCGAGCTGTACCTGTGTGAACTCAACAAAGATGGAGTTGTAAGCCTTTCTCTTTTGTTCAGATGGTCTAAGATGGCACCAAGCCACATGATGAGCATTCCTAGATTAGTGCTGTGCAGCAAAATACTTGTAACACAAGACATAATGTTGAATCGCATAGAGCTTGACATTGAAATTGATGAAGAAATCTCCTACTCTGACTCAAAGGTTGTACTTGGGTACATTCAGAATGAGAGTAGAGGATTCTATGTCCATAACGCAACTGCACCAAGTCAGGGGAGATACATCAACACTGCAAGAAATCCTGCTGACCTCGCAACTCATTGTGTTACCCCACAACTGGAAACTGATAGTTCATCGCGATGGATACTGGGACCTTAATTTCTATGGAATCCGCTGCTCCAGCCTCAAGCTTCACTCCTGGAGGTACGCCTCAGCGAAAGAAACCCTGAGGTGAAAAGGGAAGTCATCACCTGTGCCAAATCAACACACTCACCCTAAAGTCTTAGCTGTGAGAGATTGAAGCACTTTTCCTGCTGGTCCTCCCTGAGGCGTGCAATTGTAAGTCTTATTGTGTGCGTAATTAAGTTCAAGGAGAGAAATCAAGGGCCCCAAACAAGCCAGTCATCCCTTGGCCTCCTCAATCTGCAGCTAAGCTTGAACAAGCCGGCCAGGCCGTAATCTAGGCAGTACAGAAAGAAGTTTTTTTTCCGCAGAGCTAATGGCATTGTCTTTAGATGAAAGGAATAAATCACTTCCCAAACATTCAAACCTGTTGCAGCTTGATCCCTTGGTACATTGTAATGGGCTACTTTGGGTCGGAGACCGTCTCAAAAACTTGACACTTGACTCTCAAGAGAAACATCCAGTAATTTTACCAAAAGGTCATCATGTATCAGAGTTTATCATTAGCAACTTCCATGAAAACACCCATCACCAAGGACACCTTATTATGAGCAGAGCAGTTCACGAAGCCGGCTAATGGGTTGCTAGAGCTCATGGAATGATATCCAGCCTTAGAGAATCCTGCATAAATTGCAAGAAGTTGATCAAACGGAGACCAGCCCACCCTTCACAAATGTCAGCTTCGATGCCTTTGGCCCCTGGGAAATCTCAACGAGAAGACTCAGAGGTGGTGAAGCCATTCCAAAACCCAGGGGTCTCATCTGCACCTGTCTGAGTAGTGGTGCCATTCACATTGAGGTACTGGAAACAATGGACACCAACTTGTTCATCTGTGCACTGGGATGGTTTTTCACCATTCATGGATCAGTGACGAAACTTATACATGTATGTGATTGCAGCAGTAGCTTTGTTGGAGGAAAATCACAGTTGGAACAAGCACTTTCAGAGATGGACCAAACACAAGTCTAGAAGTTTGTAGCAGAACAAGGTTGGATATTTTTGTAGCAGAACAAGGTTGGATATTTAACCCTCCACAAGCATCGCACTTTGGACACGTATGGGAGTAGCAGATTGGAACCGTATGATGTGTATTGGATGGAATGTTACTAGGGATTGGATGCACACAGCTAAGCCATGAACTACTAGTGCCTCACATGACAGAGGTTACTGGAATCATCAACAGCTGCCCCATTTCAGCAGTCCCCTCTACAAAGACGAACCATTAACTCCCACAATGCTGCTTATGATGAATACCTGCCCTCCAGCACCTCACCCTGGTAACTTGGACCTGTACGCCTGTAACTGGTGGAAGAGAGCACAATACCTGGCTGATCAGTTCTGGGTCAGATGCAAAAGAGAGTATCTGCAGAACTTCCAGAACAGATCGAAGTGGCGAAGTGGCAGAACACTGATGGCAAAGTGCTGATGACCAAAGTGACTTCATGTAGAGCAGGAATCTCAAATATCTACAAAAAACCAATTTCCAGTTTCCTCGTTCAACTGAAACGGGAAGAGGAAGCCTGATTTACGGACAATGTGATTTGATTCCATGGACTTGATTGACATAATGATGATGAAAGCAAGGATTTTCAATACTTGGGCGAGGAGTGTCATGAATTCGGACGATGCGTTACATTGGTTTTATATTATTTTTTGTTTAATTAGTTGATATTTGTGACTTTTCATGCGAAAACGTGCTATAACGACATTCCGTTAAACGGGTGAAATGAACGGCCATCGAACGGGTTACAAACGGGTCACCAAGCCGTTTTAAACGGGTTTCAATGAGTGATCGAACGGGTGATTAAGTATTCCGCACAGGTAGCTTAGTCGTTCGAATGGCTCGGGGAAAATTGCGAACGGGTAGCCTAACCATTTGAACGTGTTGTAGAACATTCCGAACGGGTAACCAAACCGTTCGAACGGCTCATAAAAAAATTCCGAACGGATATCTAAACCGTTCGAACGGCTCAGAAAAAAATTTCGAAAGGGCAATCTAAACGTTCGAACGGCTCATGAAATCTTCGAACGAGCAGTCACGAACGGCTTACAAACTTGATGATTGTAATTTGTTTTGTTTATTTTGAATGGTGCCGTGCCGCTACACATCTCCCTTAAAATTAATTTCGAACGAATGGCTTTCAATCGTTGAAACTGCTCCTGTTTATTTCACCACTGAAAGCCAAAGAAAGTAAACTTGAAAAGCAGAGAACATTCGTAACTGAGTTTGCTGAAGCAGAACTCAAAAGAAAATCAACGGCGAATGCAAACTTGCAAAGTATTTGCGGTGATGTTTTTCCTAGCTTTCTTACAAAACAAATACCCAACTTTTTGTTCCCGATACATTTTCAAATTGTATGCTATGCTGACCTTTACTTTTGACTACGACTCAAACGCATTCCTGTCAGTTCAGTTTGGTTGCGTGTCACTACACCGATCTCGATAAATTTGCATGCATACAAGTTACACAACAGTGACCAGGGGGTTCATTAAGGTTTTGAACAGGAGGGCAACTGAGTTTGACACCCGGGCAAAGAATTGGCAAGGCCCGGAGGGCCTTCCCCCCCCCAGGGGGGTCGGGGGCATGCTCCCCCGGAAAATTTTGAAATTGTATAGTTGCAGGGATGTGTTTTCCTGCATTTTGAAGCTGCAGACAGTGACTTTCAACAACCAAAAAAAGATAACTTTTCTAGACAATTTAGTAATGATTTGATACCAAGAGTTTTCGCTAGAAGGTGAATCACAAAAGTATTAGTTTAACATCTTGTCTTGAAAATTTCAATGACTAGACGGGAGTCCTGAGCACTGTTTTAACGTGAACGCACCGAAAATTAATTCATTGGCTTAAACCATAAGACGAATAAAAAATCACGCTTCGCTTCATTGAACGTGATGATTAAGTCATTCAATATATACAGGCAAGTAAAAGGTTAGATCACAAAGAAGTCTACTCTCCTCTTGGCCTTTTCTCTACTGGAGGCCCTTTGGTTGAAGCCGAAAGATAATCCACTATCGAACGCGTTAATTTTCTGGGCCGCCATGCTCACGTGCTCGCAATCCTGATACATTTCACGTGGTCGTTTATGAAGTACAGTTCTTTTCGCAATGTGTTTATGGGGCGATTCTTGTATTTAACACATAACGAACGAGGGGATTTCATGCCACGCGTAATAAAGTGGAAACTGCACGGCAAAGTATGTTTTACACTCGATAAGACTCATCAAGAATAGGGCACAATTGTAACTTCACACTGTTTATAATCATTCCTTGTATTGAAAAGAAGTTCTTTGAGATTTAAAGCAGCCGGGCAAAGTCGTGTTCACAGCCGGTCAATTTGCCCGTTGCCCGGCCCTTAATGAACCCCCTGAGTGACAGGTAACACAACACCAGCCAATCGCATCAATCACTTTGACAGTCGGACGCAAAACAACATGGTTGTTATCTCAGTGCATTCAGTGGATTCTCTTCGAAATAAGAGGAATGCACAAGGTAGACTCATGAGATTTCGGTGTTCAGAAAATCATTTAAGTGCTTATCACAACCATAGTTATACCGGTAATGTTTATAAACCGCATTGTAACACAGGGTAGAATTTAAGAAGTTCGCTTGATTCGACTGATTACCACATGTTTAGAAGCGCAAAATATATTTTCTGCAAGAGCTCTTCGCCCGTAATAATAACTTTGCGAGAAAATTTTAAAGAAATTTACAATATCGTAGTTTTCATTTGTAATTTACTCACACAGCGGTTCAGACTGTTCAAGTGATCGGAGGACTTTTTTTCCGTAAGTGACAATTCATCATCAAGAACACGCAAGTACACGAACAGGAAAAGACAACCGCTCATATGACTGTCTCATACTCAAGTCGTTTGAACGGATGGATGTTCCAGCGAATGGGTGAGCAAGTCGTTCAAACGGTTGGATGTTTTTAACAAACGGGTGAGTAAGTCGTTCGAACGGTTGGACGTTTTTATCGAACGGGTGAGCAAGTTGTTCAAACGGATGGATGCTTTTACCAAACGGGTGAGCAAGTCATTCGAACGGCTGGACGTTTCTATCGAACGGGTGATCAAGCCGTTCGAATGGACGCAAATTTTTCTCAACGGGTTCTAAACGGAATTCCGTTCGAAAACAGAAAGCCGTTATAGCACGTTTTTGCGTGAAAGGTCACATTTTACGAGTTTTGACATATTATCATTATTATGGCAGTCCACCTAGCTTGGAGCAGGGGGAGAGAAGAGATGAGGTCTTGGACCAAGAAACTATGTTTTCACAACTTGCAAAGCCGTCATCTTCCGTGGTGGTCAGCGGATAATTGCAGTACATTTAACCAGCAGAGGAAATAAGTCAACAATTAAAAAAATAATATCATGCCTCTTTGTTTTTCTCGCATATTGTATTTGTCCGTTGGTATTGAGATTGCAAAATGCAAGTGACACTCACTGCAACCATGTAAACTCTTAACCAGCAACGTGCACTGGACTATTGATCGAGTTTATAGGAATTTTGCCGGGTGAGGAGAATATTATAGAAATTATGATACTAATACAAATTACTGGAGAAAGGGTCAGATTTATCGAAATTAAGTCTAAACAAGAGAGCTTTATAAATATGAGCTTACATACCTGAATAAACAGATTCAGACTTCATAACAATGATAACATTTCACTTTGTTCATTACAAATATCAGTCAACACCTTAAGTTCAAAGTTAAAATTCAAACGACCCTATAAGAAATTACATCTATTGCTGAAACCTCTGTACCTTGAAATGACCTTAACTTTCCTTAGGTTTGCAGCAAAATGCTGCTCAATATCTTAACTCTTCCGTGGTTGTTTCAGCCATACGCAGCTATAAGTTGCATGTTCCAAACTCTGCGGAAGAATATTGTTTAAAGGAAAAAGCAACACACATGCACATCCGAAAGCACACATCTGAAAAGCGATATAAGATCAATAAAGGTGTGAATTACTAAAATATAATAGATCATAATAGTGAGAAACAATCCAGCCTTCGACCGCGATGATTTTGTTCCTTCTCAAAACCATTGATCTTTGGTTTATGATGAAATGCGCATGATCCGGACACAAATTCACTTTCCAAGATGTGAGAACATCGTTTTTATTTTATTTAAGAGAATGTCTGGGAAGTAGCTTTCCCATCGACAACCCCTACCTGCCTAGCACTTTAACCAGATCTTAATCAGGGATATACGCAGAGTCTTAACAGAGTTAGATTATTTCAATTTTTTCCTACTTTTTCGTTCCTTTCTTTTCTACACTTGGAGAACTATAACATGATTTTTGTTTCATTTTTGTCTTTCATTTTAGTTTTGTTTATACTAGATTTCATTTTACTTTTCAGTTACTTTCTTGCATTATGCATTATGCACATTCAGTTCTTACCATATACTTCATTGATTCTACAATAAACAAAATTTTAAATCATCTTGGAGAGTGTGGTTGATCACAGCGAACTCTAACTGGTGGTAACACGACAGGGGCTTTATGGAGGATTTACGGCATTAATAATAATTGAAACTTTTTTTAAAATCACCATTGATGTACTAACAATAATATTGCTAACCAACATATGAACTTTGTGTCTTAAATGGGTTATCATGTGAGTGATAGAAATGAATTGTACAGTACATACAGCTGTAGAGGTCATTACTGTACTATCAGCAATAATTAAGAGCATAATACCGTAAACAGTTTGCTCTTCATGTGCCTTGGGAAGCCTCCTAGACACAACAACAAATGAACTTCCCAGTCATGTATAAGCAACTCTCATAAGCAGAATAAAACCACAGTTTTTATGCACTTGCTGAATCAATAACAGATCTCTCGTAACCATCAGTAAAGCAACAGAGTACAGATACATATCGTTACAGATATTTTTGGTCGGTCTACACATATTTTCCTGCAAATGACATTGGCAGTTGAAGTCTGAAAAAAATGGTGCATTAACTGTCGTTTATCGACATTTTCGTGATGTCTCAGTTCAGTTTCAGTGAGTTATGCTGATATAAAATTAAAAGGATTAATTTCTCAAATGCATCACGTACATACTTATACAACCGCACACCAAGCCTGCTATAAGCGTCAGCTTACATGAATACATACGTTATCGCGTGAGTAAAAGTTTGTAAATTTCAAGAGAGAAAAATAACTGTTTCTGATTTTGATGCATCGTTAAGCTTTTAAGAATAGAAATCTGTAAACGTAAAAAGGGCAAACTTGCATGACATCACTCATGACTTACCGCTATAACATTGACAAACGTCGTCTTCCCAGAATACTGCAATCCTACTAGAGTAAGCTCCATCTCCTCCTTCCAAAACAAGCTTTTTATCCAGTCTAGGATACTTCTAAAAAACGCCAACATGTTTGCAACAAGACGTTTCAAACGTGTTCACTTGGTTCTCAATTTTCCGTCCCTTTTGTCACATGACAAAAGATGGCGGATCTATCCCAGGAAACAATTCGCGCGGCAGAAGAGCTGCAGAAGAGATCTGGGTACGAAATTACATTTCATTGAAACAAGCGGCTCAAACATTCAAAATGGAGACAAAATTGTTTGTGGAAATAGCGCCCTTTGTGAAGCCAAAATGAGCACGATCGATTATCTCAAAAGCGAAGTTGAACGGCTGAGCAATGAGCTACAACAAGCCTGCTTAGAAAAAGTGCAAGCGGCTGAATATGGGCTGGCGGTGTTGGAAGAAAAACAGAGATTACAAGAACAATACGACGAACTCGAAACGTCTCTCGAAGGGAACAAGCAAGAATTGGAATGTTTGAGAGAGGTAAATATTTGATAGTTCATTTTTTTCATTGCGAAGTTGTATGGCTCTTTTTTCTGATTTGATTAGGATCAAAGTGTGTGATCGCAAAAAACTTTCACAGACCTCTATCATCAAATGCCTTGAATTATTGATATGCCGCACTTGTGTAAACTAGACTTAATCCATCAACGACTGATCTGAATGCATAGTCAAGCAAAATAATTCTTAGGCCGGTTTTTTGATAAAATGAGACCTTTAAAATATGACGGTTTATCTATGGAGACATTTTACGAACTTTATTCAACTCATATGCAATACAATGGTCACCAGCCGGCCAGTAAAAATCGCGTGACGTGGAAGCGTATAAGTGCTGTCATCAAATCCGATCGATCCCAGCTAGGGATCAGACCACCTGGAATCAGACGGTGTTTTAAAATAATATCATTTCGGTAAATTGTGTTAGTAAGAAAAACACTTGCAGAATGTGAAAAATTTGAAGGCCTGTGCCTGCAGCCTAATTACTGTCTGTAACGCCACAGCAACTACAATGTGGAGTCAATAATGCCATTTATGCGAGGAAAAATAAGACGCGTCTTACATAAGACGCGAACTGGACCATTTATACGAGCATGTCTTATCTAAGTCTTCTGTATACTTAAACTTGCTTTTAAAATGTAAGTTTATAATACCAAGATAGCAATTTGATTAGTAAATATAATGTATCGGTCAAATCGAAGCTTCAACATGCCCCCCCCGGGCAACCCCCTGGGCATTTGACTTTTTTGAAAATTATTGTTCAAATTCCCCCCTACCCAGGCCAAAATGCCGTTCAAATGCCCCACACTATGGTCCATCTAGGTGATCAAATGCCCCCACCCCGGGGACGTTTCACAGGCACAAAACTGTCAGAGGGACGGCGGAAACGCCTTCAGTTGTCGAACAAAATCTTTATAAATATAACAAAACTGAGAAACACTGTTAGCGTATTTACTAAGAACAAAAGTCTCGTGCAAAGCGGCGGAAATCGCTGCCACAAGCTCACTGAATGCTCAAAGCGTTCTATAAAAAAAGACCCCATCTATTGAGATTACTACATCATGACCATTTCACTGATATGCATCATCGCTCACCTTATTAACTAACATACTTGCAGTAGGTCAAAGTAGTTGACCTGAGCTTTTTATTTTATTTTATTTTATGTTGTTGTATTGAATCGCCGGTATAGGTATTGTATTTCATTATATAAAACACCACAATACATTCATACATTCAAAGCCTGAATCCAGTATTAAAAATTTTAAAATTTAAATACTTCAAATACAGCACAAAGCTTGTTTAAGCCCTTTCCTCGAAACCAATTGGCCACAAAGGCACGATCTTTTCCACGAAAATCCTACAACACGGCGTCCCCCATGATAGCTCGCCACGCCAAAGATTTTACAGGAAATCGAGGGTTCAGTTCAAATTCCCCACCCCTTGGAAGACTCTGATCATCAAATTCCCTCCTCCCCGGGACGGCAAAGGTGTCAAATACCCAGGGTATGCCCAGAGGGGCATGTTGAAGCTTCGATTTGACCGATACATAAATTGTGATAGTTTAAAGCTAAAAGGGTCTGCTTACACCAGCAGATGTCACGCATCTGCTGTCCAGGAGGTCTGTTATCACCTTCTCCTTACATACACTGTAATAACAAAAAATCTTTTTCCTCCGCGATGGACCAAGTGTTTCTTTTTACCTTTAACGGCATGCTCATTGTATCTGAGCAAAGAAAATATAAAGCAGAATAAACGAGGAAACGAAAATGCGTTGTAATTTGTAAACAAATTTTCTCGGCCAGTGGCCTGCCAGTCCACCGCTGGGCAAGAGATAATTTTCCCGCCAAAAATTAAGGCATGCGTACTATGCATTCGCATCTTATGTAAGACACGAATTTCGTTTATATGAAGTTTTTCTCGTCTTAGCTAAGATGCGTCTTATCAAAGAACAGGTGTTACGGGCTGTTTAAAATAAGATGCGTCTCAGCTAAGTTGCATCTTATTTTAGATGAATTGTGCCGTTTATATGGAAAGTTCGCGTCTTATTTTTCCTCGTATAAATGGCCCTAATGTAGGTGGGATGAGGAGTAGAGTAACAAAGTAATGTAGTGTTATGCAGAAATTCTACTAACAAAGTTCTCGCTGGCATTTTCAGGCCATATCATGATTGATCTACTCAATCACAATGTTCAGGTTGATGGCAATTTTGAGATGTAATGCACCTATCAATGTAAATCCCGCTGGGTGGGGGGGAGTGGGGGCAAGGGGCGGGGATTTGACAAATTTTAACATTTTTCATCAAATTCCCCAGGGTCGGAAACAAAAGGTCAATCAAAAAATGTCAAAAAAGCCCTACCCCAGGGGAAAAAATCAAAACAAACAATACTATAATACTATATCAGGGTTGTCACTAAGATTTCAAGTTGCCCGGTAAATACAACAAATAGGCGGGGAATCAAACGGCTAGGGATTTCTTTTGGTTCTATTTTCTTCTATTTTCCAATAAAAGTAGCTGGGGGCCACTCTCTTAGTAGCCGGGGAAAATCCCCAGCCCCCGGCTCTTAATGACAACCCTGCTATAAAAAACGAATATAAGAACATTTCAAAAGTACGTTCTTACTACTTTTATTTAAGGTTAACGTAAGCTAAATTACTTGCTGTAATTAAGTATTCTCTCTCTCCACCAGCATCTGTTGTTTTGAACAACATAATCACTCCAGGAAGATTGGTCGTGCTATTATAATATTAATGAAATGTTCAATGCTTTATAACATCTGCTCAACATGTCGAAACAGGTTGGATCAGTGACCCGTAAAAAATCCTCTGACTTTCATGGTGGAATTCTATTTCAATCGAGTTTTACAAGCAGATGGGAACTTGAAGATAAAAACTTTCTCAAAATAGACATTATCTGTTTAGATGACAGTTTAAAGTATCGGATTATAGCGATTAAAACAAATGAAAACTCCGTACCTTTCTCCAACAGCATGACTTTCAGAAAGCCTCAAGGGACAGACTTGGTAACCGCTTCTGAATTGATACCAGGCTTCTGTCAGTCAAAGTCAAATGTCCAGATCCCAGGGTCACTTCGCATGATCAAAAGCCCGACAGGGGGGATAGTCTCAGGCATCAAATCCCCGCCCCTTGCCCGCATGCCCCCCCCCCCCCCCCCCCTGCCCCCCGCGGGATTTATACTGAAAGGTGCACGATGCTCTGTCTTTATGTTAGGGATCTTTCTGGGGAAGAGGGTTGGTAACCCCAGGGAACCTCTCAGCATTTGCACAGCAACTTCTACAAATCCTTACCACCCAAGATCGATATTTCTCCAAAAAAGTTACCATTGTCCCTCTCCCCAGGGATAAATTTAGTAGGATATCCTATTTTTTCGAGCAATAGTGGGAAATGTCGGAGTGGGAAAGGACAATGCAGTTGTCAAGCCATGGTCAAAAATAAGAATGGATTTACAATGAGTAGTCAGGTCTCTTAGGGTCAGGATCGTTACAGAGTTGACAAAAGCACCAAACTTTGCACAGCGATAGCTTATTGCAGTACCATGAATATTAGAGGGGGTGCCCACTGCAAATGTGCCACTGAAGCGTGCTAAACAGGATTTAATTATTGTAAATTTCATCTGCTGGGGTCCCTGTGGTGTTTTGATTGAAAATTGTTATTTAATACCTTAAATCACTCTGAATTCTATTCTCATGTTGTAAACAACAATTTCACTCAAACATCTGGCATTCCCATCCATTTTTGCTTATTGATTGTATAAGTAAGTTGATTATTACTGTGCCCTTAAAGCAAGTCCACAGTCCGCCCACATTTTCATAAGTCATTTCTAAGATGGCCTCGTCTTTGCTTCATAACTTGCAAGTACTCAGCTTCTGGGGTTCTCTAATCTCCTTTTCTAATGTACTTCAATTAGAGGAGGCCTTATTGTGTGGCTTAAGTCTTATTTATCAAGTATTACTTGTCATTACATGTCACTTTAACCTGAAGAAAGCGCATGGCATAGCGATTCACACACAAAATTTCAGAAAAAAGAAATTGTCAAAGAGTCTGTTGTATCACATGTTATCAGGGATTTATGACAGCTATTCATGAAGAGCAAATAACGAAATGACAGAACCCAAAATAGTTCTTTCCTAGGGTGGTAATTAATTTTTCAGCTTAACACAGGCCTGGATGCCTTTCAGTCTCTCTTTATCCAGTTATCTGCTGGACACAAGTGCATGTTTTGACAGAGAAGCAAGCACCGTGGCACAAGTCATATCATTTACAATTCCCGCAGTTTGTCTAAGCTTTACAGAGCAAAAACAAACAAAAAAGAATCTGGTCTCATAAACGAAGAAAAGAAACAAGCTTCAAAAAACAGCACAGTTTATCATTGGCACTGAAGCACTCATGTCCAAAAATAATAACAGCTTATCAAGTCGTAAAAGTGAGACTCCAGTGGTACAAGATTGACTCAAATGATAAATGGTGAATAGTTTAACTGCTGAAACTGGCCGGGCTAACTTTTAGGGCCTGTTTACATGGAGGAGGGGGACCCCGGGTAGGAATGGTAACCCAC